GCGCGGCCTGCACAGTGTCACCTGCACAGCTCCCCGAGGCCGCCCGTTTGGAATCTGGGGGAGTCTTTAGCGATGGGTATCGGAGCGCTCGCCGCCCTCCACTGAAGCCAGTGGAAAGTGTCTTTTGCCGCTGTTGCCATAAGAATATCTTCCCTTATCGTTTCTGAGCTCATCACTTTTTTTTTTTTTTTTTTAAGGAACAGTTAAGGCCATCGCTGCTCTGCAAGACCCGAGCAGCCTGCAATCGCACGGGGCCTGCAGGGAACCTGAGCCAGCGTGAGCGTGAGCGTGAGGCAGGCGTGGGGCCCAGCACCTTCACCTCCCGCCCCGGGGGCCCTGCTCTGTCCTCACGCGCGGCCTCCCCTTCCGCTCAGATTGCAGACAGTAAAGTGATATAGTGAGAAAAGTATCAAAACTTTTGTTTTGATCTCTCTTCATTTTATTTACCAGTTACAGACCACACAGTCTCGGGCAAGTTCAGCAGCTTTTCGGAGCCTCCGTTCCCTGCTCTATAAATGGAGGGGCCTGCTGGGCAGGTCCAGAGAAGATGCCCAGAAGGTGTGTAGCGGGGTCTGGGCTCTCAGAGGAACTCCCCTATGTTCCCACCACCCTTTTCCCCCCGGGGTCTGGGTCTGTCCTCACCCAGGAACACCCCAGGCTCTTGACTCCCCCTTCCACCCTTCTCATCAGAATTCCCTCCTCCGCCTGCTATCACTCTCGCAGGACGTCACTGAAGGGCTTGATCATCTCTGTCAAGCTAATTCCAGTGAAAGCCTGGATGGCTGAAATCATTTGAGAGTGTGGACTCACAGTGTAAGAGGGTTCCCGAAAATGCAGGGCCTCCACACAGAACGACACCCTCTTGCACTGGGCAGGCCAGCATGGGGGATATTTTGGGGTGCCACTTGTCTAGAACACCTTCAGTAAAGATTTATTTTTTCCTTTGTAAGAGATTGGGTATTCCAAAGAAGTGCAGTCTCCCGGGATTTCTTCTTACCTAATATTTCTGAAAAAAAAAAAAAAAAAAAAAGGACCCAGGGACCGGCCTACACACTGATGCTCCCGCTATGCTGGCTGCAGTTTGGGATGCGCACAGAACCTCCGCAACAGTCCCCTGAGATTGTGATTCGATGGTTTTCAGAAGAGGCCCTCGCTTTGGATGATAGCGGACTAGACCTGTAGCCTTCATCCGTTCCACAAACCGAACGGACAAAACAAGCGGGATCCCTTCAGTCACATAAGGAGTTCACCTGAGCAGGAAGCAGGTGCCGCCTACCGAGAGCGAAATCACAGGCATCTGTTACCTGGCCACATTCGATCCGCTCGCCACCACTGCTGGTCTAGCGCCAACAGGGGGAAGGTACCCAATCAGTTAAATAGGAAGTGTGTGCGATAGCTTACGAAGTGAAATAAAACAGTACGGCCACAATAAAGCAGATTGGGTGGCATGAGATGTGATCGAGGGAAAGCTGAGTGCCAGTTTTAATAGAGAAAACGGAAAAAGAAAAAAAGATAATTTGCTGTAAGTTTTACTGCAACATTCTGATCCATTTTAGGGCCTCAACACCTTTGAAGGTAACCCGGTTCAGACATGTGGGAGTTCCGCTTAGCGGAAAGCAGGCCCTTCCCAAGGCGGTGGGATTCTAGCAAAGGGAAGCGAGTCGCTTAGTGATGGGCCCACTCAGGAGCACGCACGTGCCGGGAGCTTCTTTACTACAGACCGACAGGACGCCAGCCCTGTAACCACCATCACCTTCCCTCGGGGACAGGGGTGCAGGGCTCAGAGACGAGCAACACCGTGAGTTACAGGCAGGAGGCTCCCCCCTTCTCACATCCCCCTGGCTCTGCAAACGGAGGTTAGAGGCTGCTCCAGGATGGTTCTGAACCACCCAGGTCTGTTTTGACCCACTTTCTAGAATGCACACTACAGGAGTTTCTAGTAGAAAGTGGCCAGGATAGATCTTCAACTTTAGGAGGCGGTAGGTTATACAGGCAAGCGCAAGGCCCTCGCGGCTGTGTGAGTGCAGCAGGCTTTCTCCGGGGAAATCTGCATCTCGTACATGGGGCTGTGTATACGTGGATTCAAGTATGAAGGATGAAAACCCTGCTCTTTCAATAGCTGGAACTTCCGCCTACATGATAGCAAACACCCCTGAATCATATTTTCACTACGACAGTCACCTGACGGTCCACAGAATTAAAAGGAAAAGCTTTATATGGATGACTTTGGCATTTTCTTAGGCCCAGCTATAAAAGGATATGGAGTATAGCTCAAACAAGTTATGCATAATCTAGGAATCTTAATGGAAATCTGATCTAATACCTCGGAAGTGGCTACTTAAAAAAAAAAAAAGAATAACAGGGTGGCTCCTGGTTAATCAACACCAACAAGATCCAATTCACAACTTTTTAAAGCTAAAATGAGCCGAAATAGAACAGAAATAAATTGGGAGTGAATAAATTGTAAAACTTCTCTCAGAAAGTCAGCACGTGGACACCGGGGTGGCTCAGCGGTTGAGCGTCTGCCTTTGGCTCAGCTCGTGATCCCGAGGTTCTGGGATCGAGTCCCACATCGGGATCCCTAAATGGAGCCTGCTTCTCCCTCTGCCTGTGTCTCTCTTTCTCTCTCTGTGTCTCTCATGAATAAATAAATAAAATCTTAAAAAAAAAAGAAAGAAAGAAAGTCAGCACCTGCCATAAGATGCCTCGTAGCGGGTGCATCTGGAGACAGAGTAAAATGGTTAAAAGGATGGACAGGCTCCAGTTCAAGTCCCTGTTCAGCCTCTTAACCAACTTAGAGTTTTTGAACAAATTCTATAACCTTTTTGTCAGAGCCTCATCTTTTCCTCCCATAAAATGGGACAATAACATACCCATTTATAGATTCTTTGTGAGAATCCTCGACAGAAGGCAGATCACGTGCTACTGAATAGCAGGTACTGCAGATGTGTTTGCTATTTTAGGATCAAGAAACAGAACTGTGCTGTCCTAACACCAGGAGGAGAAAAAGCAAAGTGTGGAAGAGTAACTTCAGTGTCCCGAAGAGGCGACAGGGAATAGATTCAGAGTCTCCTCTGTGGGGAAGATAAGCAAGGTCTCTGTGCCACTGACTCTCCATGAGGCAGTTAAGAGGTCATCAAGCATAATAACTGTTCACGTCCCTGTGAAAACTGCTTCAATCCAAAAGCCCAGAAAAGATGTCCTGGGGAAGCGGGTCCTCTAAGATTTGGAATGGGGGCTGGCTTCACCGTGTCTTTTCAGAGCTAGCTAGTGACAAGTTGTGGTGTCAGGGTCAGGTGTACAGGCCAAGGGGTCAGACAGCCGGACACCCATCCCCTCCAAGACCAGTGAGAGCTTGAGCCAGTCATTCCCTTTTCTCAGCCACACAATTGAGATGATGATATCCAGGGCTGCTTATCTGATCTCAAAAGCTAAGATGTGAATTTGGTTCCTTGTTGATCAGCCAAGAGCCACCCTCTTTCCCCCCCCCCACCTTTTTTTCCCCAGGAACTGGTTCCAATGTGCTGAGATCATTGGGTGGCTCTACGGATTAAATAAGACCATGTGTGCAATGATCTGAGCCCAGTACCTGGCACACAGGAGTCAATCCATTGTAATTCCTAAAGTGATCAAGATGTCATCATCCCCGTGTCCTGTCTGAGGAGCCAGACACTAAACGGCTAGTTAATGGCAAAGGGAAGCCAGACTTCTGGGACATTCCTGTAGCAAAGTACAGGTTTCATGGTGATTTGGCTGAAACTTTGGCCTGACGGGTAGGAGGACTCGTTAGAGGTCCCAAAGCATGTCAGGAATGCGGCAGGGCACAGCGTCTGGTCCTTGGGCTCGGTACTTGTTAATCCGTAGGCTGCAGGTACAAACCCGCCCAAATGCTGTAAAGAACGTTCTCATCAAACCAGGAAGGAAATTCAACCACTCGGGGACAAAGGAGAGGCTCTGGACTTCTTGTGACGTTCCCTGGTAATTGTCCCTGGTGGTCAGTCTAGTGTTAGGAGCTGGCTGTCATCTGCACTGTTTTACTGGTTTCTTTCCAATTACTTTAGAACCAAAAACAAATTTAGAATTTAAATGCAAGGATGTTTTTCCTGGTAATGAATTCCCTTGCTTTCTACTAAGGCTGAGGAGTTGGCTCGAGCCAGGAGTTGGCTGTGTGCTCTCCATCTCCTCCTATCCACTGAGACTTGCACTCGTTCTTATTTTGTAGGACTCTTTCGCAAAGACTGTGCTAAGCCTGGGGCTCAGCGCTGCCCAGAGAGGTGAGAGGTGAGAGCGGCAGGTGCGTAAAAACCACACTGGTGGGGACGGCTACGTTGAGGCTGATGGAGCTGCTCTTTGAGTGAGTTCAAGACAGATGAAGTGCTGTCTGCAAGGGAAGGGTGTGGCTTTAATGAACAAAATGCCTCAAACACAGCTCTCATCCACTGCCCACCAACGGCCAAGCCAGTGGGGATGAATTTTCGCTTTCTAGTATTTGGCAACTTCTCAGCATAATCGAAAGAACGAGAGAGTGGGACGTATGGCAGCTCTCAAAACAGGCTAACTTTACAGCCCTGGGCCCCCCTTCCGTGGTCACAGAGGTGGGATTTGTGACGGAGAAGGTACAGCGCGTAGCTGTACTGCTCGGGGCTGAAGGATCACAAGAAAGGTGGGGGCGGGGGGCGCCGTCCAGCGTACGTGCGTCCACCAGGTAGAGTTCTGTGCAGGCTGAGGGGTTTGGCTACCCTGGGCATTTGGACTCTTTGCCACGTACTTTCTTGGGTTCACCTTTCTCCAGAATCTGCACATTGTCAACCCATTTCACCAGCTGCTTAGGAAAGCTCTCTGCGTGCTTCACGAATCACAAGCACAGAACTTTGAACCTGACAGCAGCTGGCCGCCCCTACAGAGCCGTCCGGCTGCGAACACAGAAGAACCGCGTTTGGGCTGTGGAGCGCCCATCAGCGAAGGAATCAGGTGCTGTGAATCACGCGCTTCGAACTCACCTGCGTCTCGGTCCCTGATACAATAGTCTGGAGAATTCTCAAAATACACGAGGTCATTTTTGGTTGGCTTCTTGAACCTCTTGTTAGCCACCGTGAACCCCGTGCCATCCTGGTTCATGACGACCTGGATGGCCCCGTTGTACTTCCTCCAGAGATAATCGCCCGTTTTTCTGAAGTCCGCCATGGCCAGCCAGCATGTCCTCAGCGTACACGAGCCACTCACGCCGTGACACTTGCATTCCTGCTTCAAGAACCGCTTCACCGCCTGCCGGGAGAGACGGGCAAGTTCAGAGCGGGCGGACTCAAGGCCCTGACCTGTGCTACACTTTTCCTTACACCTGAGCACTCAGGAAGGGACTCTGATGGCAGAGGGGCCCGGGGCTTAGGACTGGGAGATGGTGGAGGTCCCTCTGGCCACCCCACCCTGACCACAGTAGGTGGGGTCCTGGGGGGAGTCGCGGTGGGGGCAGAGCCTTGACCATGAGCGCTGTTTGGCTAAAGGGATAACGGGAACCTCACTAATTGGAATTGAAGAGGGCCGAGGGCCAGTTTGAAGATGAGAGAATGGATCCGAGGCCTCCCTAAACAAACGAGGCTTTATTATATCGAACATGTCCAGTACGGCTCAGTAATGGCTAAGCCTGTTGCTTTCGATAAGCCGGTAATAATGATCGGAACTATTCAGAGGCTGCCGTCCGTGTTCCAGGCGCTGGGCTAATGCTCTCCACGCTCTAGCTCAATGACCGCAATCTTCGCGGCAATCCTGTGCCACCACATTTATTTTGCAGATGACGGAGGGGCAAGTCTGAGGGAGGTCACAGCATTTGCCCAAAGTGACACGGCTGGTTTAGGGCAGAGCCTGGGTGCACCGGAAGTCAGCTGATGCCATTAAATTTGGGAGATTATCGCCCAACTGTGGCCAAATTATTCCACGTAGATAACAGGGCTGAGCTAGCTCGGTCCTTTAATGGAGGTGAAGCAAAGGCAGAGGGGACAAGCCCGTCTCAGCTGGTTCGCAGCACGGGCTCCCTCTTCGTGAGGCTGTAGGCTGCGGACAGGGCCCCGCGGGCCTGGAACTGCCCAGGGACACTTCCGCGTGGGTCCTGGGATTAGCCAGCACACCTGTGCAGCCCCAGCGCAATTTTATGAGTGTTACAAGGGCCTGACCCATTTCTCCTTGGCTCGGCTAAGTGAAGAGAGTCATCAGCACCCATGGTCCCCAAAGATACCCGGAGCTACTGTTCTTCCCATTTCACAAGTGAGGAAACTAGGGATCGGGGAAAGACGATGACTGGCCCAGACTCCGAGGCCAGGATGTGGAACGGCGGATGCAAACCCAGACTCTGGAGTCCTTCCAGCTCATAATACAGACAAATACATGGATTTCCTCAAAATATTTTCTAACGGCATGTTTTCTGACTACAAACCTTTCTGTGTTCCCTTTTTCATACGATTCACTACTTTAACAATTGTCATCCTCCTTCCCCAACAGAACTAACTTCTTGTTCAACCAGTTTTTCAAATTACTATAATATTGAAAGAGCTTTTTGTTGCCCACTGTTGATCACGACTGATGATTACGGGCTCCCCCCCATCAAATACCCAAAGCAAGGCGACACACAGAAGGGCCGTGGGGGCGACCAGCCTTGGAGGTCTCACCAAAACCAAGCCTTTGGTCCTTGGCTCAGTCATGGAGCAGAGGAGGAGAAACCTGCCTGCTGAGGACTCCCACCCTCTCTATTTTTGTATCCCCAAGACCGCACCTATGAGGCGTGGAAGGCATAGGCAGGGGGGACAGTGAACTCCCTTGATGACATTATCCAAGGTCATTCCAGGAGACCAGCCTTCCAGGCTGCCTCACCAGGGTTCTTACTTTGCCCAGACCTGGTTTTGCCTTTTCTACAGATTCAGTTGCTTTTCTACCCAAGTGTGCAGTAAGGTTCTTCATTCCAGAAGGTCAGTCTCAATGAAGTTATTCTAGAGCCAAGACATGTCACGGTGGCTCTACAGTTATGAATTCACTCACGCTCCTCCCAGGTTGGGCCTTAGCACCCCGTGTTTCCCGCGTTGCCCCTCGTGGTGAACTGTGTCCTATTAACATTTGAAATCTGTCCTCTTCGGCATGAGACTGCCTTGAAGGGCAAGGACAGAGAAGTGAGCAAGAGGAATGTCCCTAGTTTGGTCTTCTGGGTCACAGGGATCTGGGGATACTAAAGGGATGTCTTAGAATGAATTCCTTTTCTGGAACAATGCTCCCCCGGGTGCCTCCTTCCCCTCCCCGTATCTTTATATTCCAGGTATTTGGTATGAGGTTCCCTGGGTGACCTGGACAGCAGGACACAGCCACAGACGCAGCCCCAGGAGGGCCATCTTGGGTCCCTGACTGCCCCATTTGGGTCCCACCTGTTCGGGAGTTTTCTATCCTAAGATCTCAATAGAGCCACACAGAACTCACTCCATGCCAAGTGCCTGGGAACTGAATATCCATTCTTCAAGGCTTGTTCCTTTTAAATCCATGTTATTTACTCATAAACAACACTCTTAGGGATGCCTGGGTGGCTCAGTGGTTGAGCGTCAGCCTTTGGCTCAGGTTGTGATCCTGTTGTCCTAGGATTGAGTCCCACATCGGAAGTCGTCGTCGTTGTCGTCTTCTTCTTCTTCTTCTTCTTCTTCTTCTTCTTCTTCTTCTTCTTTTTTCTGCAAGGGGAGTCTGCTTCTCCCTCTGCCTGTATCTCTGCCTCTCTCTCTGTGTGTGTCTAATGAATAAATAAATAAAATCTTAAAAAAAAAACCCACAACACTCTTAGCTTTAAAAATGACAGGAAATATTACTGCTCTCCCTTTGTAATGCTAAGTTTCCAGGCTGTAAAGCTCAAAGCTGGTATTTTAGAGGACTAACTGAAACATCTGCGTATTAATTTAAAATTGGATCTTAAAAATACGTCTTATACATGCACCCGGCAGTGGCACACACTGCTGACCACCACCATCACTGGCAACCACCATTCCCTTCTTCCTTCCTAAGTTCTGTTCAGGTGTTGGGCAGCCAAGTGCTTCAGAACCAGCTGAGCCTCTCTCTGACCCGGAGCGGCCCAAATCAGTAATAGTAATTCCACGGTCCTGCTCCTGATTCAGCTGAGGCCGATATGTCGTTAGGCGCAATGTACAGCGGGACTTGGGCGAAAGACTTCTTTACTCTTTGAAAGAGACGTGGGAGGAGAAGCTTCTCTGTCTCTGGATGCAGCTCGCCGCAGCAGCCCCCTTGGGACACGAGGCAGCCAACTCAAGGCCAGCAATAAGCTGCTGATGGTGGTATCGAAAGATGGGAAGGACTGGGTTCTGGAGGACGTTGCTGAGCTGCTTGAGTGAATCCACCTTGGCCTGGCCCCGCCTCTGTACTTCTTGAGATCCAAGATATTAAGTTTGTGCCCCCAGGGTCTATTACTTATAACTACAAGTATTTCGACTGGAACCATGGTCAGTTTTTGATTGTGGATTAATCACAGGCTCCGTCTGACAGTTAACCTTGGGGGAAAGTGAGACCTTCTCTTGATGCTGGGTTTGCTCACAGCTCCAGGCCCTGCTCTTAACACACAGCCGGTTCTGGGGTGGGGGTGGGGAGACGGGGGCTCCATCACAGCTCGGGGCCACCTCCGCCTCTGGGTTTGCAGACTTGAAATTCAAACTCGAAACTGAGAGGCGGACAACACCCTGCTCAATCAGAGAGGCACAGGGAAGGGGACCTAAGCCTAGGTGGCCTGATTTAGAGAGCAGCTAACACAAGAATAAGGAATGGGACTGAGCAACTCATGGTGAGTTTAGGAGCTTCCTAGTTTAGAAGAATTCCCATGATCAAGTGTTACAATACCGTTGTCACAACCGCTGCCACCGCCACTTATCTGTCACAAGTGGCTTACACGTGTTATTGAATTACCACAATTAGGCAAAATAGGTTATGATTCCCATCCTATATTTATGAAAACCGGGGCTCTGGGAGGAAAGTAAAACCCCCAGAGTTACCCAGATAGTCAGTGGGTCGGGACAGAACGAGGGTGTGAGTCCACGTCTCCCTCCCAGGTCTGCGTTCTTTCCAAAAACATTTAAAATCCTATATAAATTGCATTGTGCTTTTCTGAAATTTTAAATCGTGCGTACTGTTTCCCTCCATTCTTTTGAATGAGTCAAAAATGAACAAGGCAAGATTGCCTGCATAATGGGGAGGAATTATACTAGAAAAAAAAAGAAGGGTCAAGCTCTGAATGGAATAGACTAGAACAACAGGAATCTGGGGATGGTTCCCCGGCATCTGGGGAGAGCAGGCCAGTGATTCTCATTCCGGCCACACATTTAAATCCCCTGGGGATGGGTGCCAGGACCCAGACCCGCCTCTCCCTGGGCAGAAAGAAATCAGAACCTACAGGCTGGGAGCGGGGTGGGCCGTGCGGCTACCAGGGGTCTCAGGTGCTTCTAACAGGCAGCAGGGCGGAGGATCCTGTACCCTGAGCCAGGCAGGCCCCAGAGGGGGAAAGAAGTGGCTGCATGGCCTGAGTCCCATCCCACCGGGGGCCGGGGCGGAGCAGGGGAGCCGCTCCCGCTGCAGGGAGCAGCATTACGTTTCTAGGAACAGGGATGGCTGGTTACGGAATTGAAGTGTCCTACCCTGTGTCTCTGAAGTATCCTAGTGTCCAGGAAGAAATGGTTACAAGCAACAGTGCTCATGCTGCTTTGGAGAGAATCAAAGATGGGGGTTGGAGCAAAACCCAAGTGCTTTTAGGGGACCAGGCTTCAGTGGGGGGCCTGACCCAGGGGACACGCTCCGGGGAGTCTGCACAGGCAGGCGGCAGGAGGGGCACAGCCACAGACTTACCTGTGGGTAGAAGGAGGAGTGAGCAGGGCGGAGGGCCTGGGGTCACCCAGGGGTTGGCCCACACTCGGGGCTTTTTGTGTTTGTTGGGTTTTAATCATGACTTTCAGAATTTTTAATTAAAGAGATATGTGCGCACGGTTTAAAAATATCAGCTAGTCCAGGAAAGATCAGGGCGGAAGGCAGGAACTTTCTGTTGTACCCTTCCCCCCTCTCCCCCTGCTCCCAACTGCACAGCATAACCCCAGGGGTGGCCACTCAGAATGAATTCTGCTTTCACCCTGTCTGGCAGTTACCTAAATGCTTGTAGGACAGCTCTGCGCTTGGGGAGGAACAGAAAACGGCATCCCGAGACACCAGAGGGACAACTGTCATAATAACTGAACAAACCCGCAGTAACC